TCAACTTAAAGTCAAACTTATAACTTATAACTTAATAACTTATTGGGATATTACACTGGTGGATTGCAAAAACAGATGTGTGACTCTATTGCATATGGAGAGAAGTGTGGTCGATGCGGAAGTGGTTGAGATCGAGGAGGTTGAGGATTGGAGGGCCCCGATCTTGAAGGAGTTGAAGGAAGGGGCGATAAAGGTAGTGATAAGATTTTTTTAGCATGGTAGAATTCTTTACAAACGGTCATATGCTGGACCGAATTTACGTTGTGTGACTAAGGAGGAGGGTTGATACGTGCTGAGGGAAGTGCATGAGGGATGTTGTAGCGACCATAGCAAGTTGGGGGCCTTGGTCGCTAAAATTTTGATGGCAAGGTATTTCTGGCCAACAATGAAGGATGATGCTAAGGCTATAGTGAAGAAGTGTTTGCAGTGCCAGAAGCACAGCCAATTGATTCATCAACCGGTGGAAGCCATGACAACGAAGATGAGTGCCCCTATACCATTCGCCCAGTGGGGAATCGACCTGGTGGGGCCGATGCCGCAAGGGATGGGGCAAAGGAAATTCTTGATTGTGGCGGTGGATTATTTTACGAAATAGGTGGGGGCCGAACCGTTGGCGATGATCACGGAGGAGAAAGTCATCAATTTTTGATATAACAATATTTGCTGCAGGTTTGGCGTTCCTAGAGTGTTGATATCCGAAAATGGAACTCAATTCAATGGCAAGCGGATTCGAGCATGGTGTGAAGATATGAAGATCGAGCAACATTTTGCCTCCGTCGCTCATCCGCCAGCCAATGGCCAAGTCGAGGTGACCAACCGAATTATACTGAATGGGCTGGAAACAAGGCTGGAAAAGGCCTCGGGGGCGTGGGTTGACGAGCTAACTTCAGTACTTTTGGCATACCGTACTACCCCGAGGTCGACAACAGGAGAAACCCCCTTCAGTCTAGTCTATGGGATGGAAGTGCTGCTGCCAGTCAAGGTCGAGCTATCATCGCAAAGGTCGAGTAGATATGACCCAGAGCAAAATGAAGTGCTAATGACGGCGGCCTTAGACACCATTGAGGAACTATGCGAAAGGACATCGATCAGAGTGGAGGCGTACAAACAAAGAATACAAGCAGCTCATGACAAAAAGGTGAGAGTCTGCAGATTCCAAGTGAGTGACTTGGTTTGGAAACGCGTTGATGTGCTCAAACACGTGGGAAAGCTGGAACCCAACTGGGAATGACCATACCTGATCGAGAGAGTGCATGCAGGAGGAGCATACTCTCTAAAGGATGCAGAAGGACGATCACTTTCCAGGTCATGGAACATAGCTAATTTGAAAAAATATTACCTGTAAATGTTTTTCTTTTTTCAATAAGATTTTGGAAGTTTGAACGAAGATGTAACTCGCTAATCCTGTTCAGAAGATAATGGAATTCAGTTATCTTTCAGCATTATTTGCTTTATTGCGCACCTTCTTATGCTTGGAATGTTGGAATGATTTGAATGACAGGATGTATGATATGGTCGCTTGTTTGGAACATCCCTTGGGGTGGACAAGTTGGTCGATTACTCACGCCCTCGGGCTGGGTGGCCTCCTGTTTAGAAAATTCCTTGCAGGTGGGCAAGTGTGATGATCAAAACCCACCATGACTATGGCCCTCGGGTTGGGTGGTCGCTTGTTTGGAACATCCCTTGGGGTGGGCAGGTTGGTCGATTACTCACGCCCTCGGGCTGGATGGCCTTCTGTTTGGAAC